ATATTGATATATTTGAACGAAGTAGCTAAGTGGTTTTGGCTACTATAACCAAGTAGAATACGGTAGCAGTAATCGACTAAGTAAGAAGTGTAGATCAATGGCGTAGTCCAATGGCCGTCGTTATAAACTTAGCTCTCAGACTAAGTTTCTTGATTCTCCTACCTACACGTCCGTCGGTATTTATGGCGGACACCAGCCAATCATATTCCAGTGAGGGGGGACACAGGTGTACGTATATTCCATTATATCAGATATTAATGTAATAAAATAAATATGAATATAAACGATAACACGATACCTAATCTCTCATATTTAATATTAAATTCTATTTCATTCGGGTACTTCACCAATTAATACTAGCCAGTGCGTGCACGCAGTCCCGTGGCTCCTCATCCGAAACGAGAACCTTACATTCTCGCCTGCTATATCGAAGAGACTGTCCAACTCCTCTTTCCTCATTTTTATAAACTATTTAGAAAGGGTCTCCGCTGATACTCTCTATCCCTTCTTGCCCTCAATAAATCCTGTGGGTGAGACAGTCTCCAATCTCTCTTTACTGGCTTCAGATATCTCATTTCAATTTTGCTATACATAGAAAAGATTATGGAGTTCACAATGCAGCTATGATCTCGACTGCGTCGAGGAGATAGGTGGATGGATAGTTAGGTGTCTTTAGATAAACCAGGGGCAGAGATGACCGGAACTGACCTCTCAGACAGCGATTGTAGATTCACCTGACCAGCTTAGCTTCACCTGGTTTTTAAATGTAGGAAAGGTTCGTATTACAGAAGACATATAATCACCCACCCCACGCAAAGAGGAGTTGAACAGTCTGTTAGATATAGCATGCGAGAATGTAAGGTCCTCGTTTCGGATGGGAGGCAACGGGACTGTTGTAGTGATAATGAGAGTTGTTTTTTTTACCATTGGCGCTATTGTTTGGTTTTTTGAGCCTAGTTAAAAAGCCTAGGTTATTCATGCTAATTTTCAAAGTCGGACCGGCTTTTCAATTTAGAAAATTGGTGCAACACAGTCTGTCTCCTCACATCACTTATATCTAAGTTTAGTTAATATCAAGTCCTCACATCAGTTATCTAAATTTAGTTAATATCAAGTATCTAACACAACTGAACAACCCAAGAGGCGAACTTACGAACCGGGAATAGCAAATGGATGCAAATACGAACATTTAAATATCTGGGAAGTTTTTTTAACAGGGGACAGAAAATATGACACTGAAGTCCGAAGAGAGTATTAGAATGGCAAAAGATGCCTTCCTAAGACTAAGCAAAGTATTATAAAACAAAATAAATTCGTTAGAAACAAATAAAAGAGTGCTGAACTGCTCTCTGGTATCAGCCATCCTATATGGCAGCGAATGCTGGACAATTTCCTCACAGAGAAGAGGAGATGGAGGCAACAGAAATGTAGTTCTACAGAAGGATGTTGAGAATACCACGGTCTGAACATATGAGTAACAAGGAGGTTTCAAGAAAAATGGTAAAAAAAGGTACTAATACTTAAAACCAGAAAGAGACACACGAAGCATATATGGGACATAATAAGGACACACGGCCTGGAGAATTTGATAGAGGTTAAAAACGAGTAACGTAACTAGCAGGGTTGTGCCAATGGAATGACAAAACAGGTAGTGAAAGTGAAAAAAAAGTGAGACCATACTAACAGCTACAAGGGATAGGAAATTGTGGTGAGCCATGAATACCTACGCCCTGAAGGCTAGAACAAGATAAAGGTCATTGAAATCCCTACTCATAAACGGATACAGTTTCATGTTATTCAAGTATTAGACTCGATGATAGCGCTATAACCATGGAGCCATACAACTAGCTGGCACTCAGAAAACAGAGCCGAACTCATAGATAACGACTTTTCAGTGTAAACCTTGATTAATACCAATTAATATAAGAGTTGGAAGTTATAATTTCTACCGTCATTTACCATTTCCTGCTGTTCCATGAACAATAATCTAAGTAGTTTTGAAGTGCTATATTCCTTTTCTTCAAATATAGACATTTGAGATTATAACGATCTCATAGAATACTTTTAATAATTAGTTTACTTTTCAAACATTTAAGTAGTTCTTACGGATGGTTCATAATTTATTATTGCAGTGTAATGAAAGGTGGTCGAATTACTATTCAACAATGAAAAATGTCCCCAGCTATAAACAAACATTCATATTTAGTAATCTTTGGATCTAATAAATCGGAAACATTAATCCGAATGTATCGATCACGCACTTCATGATAAAAAAACAAAACAATTTTGCCATCAGCATGACCAAGATTATACTGATTGCATCCCTTACCGAGAAGTAAGACCCCACAAAGGAGGATATATGCCAAATGCATCATGGAGCAGATAAACCGAAATTTATACGTAGCAACAGCACAGTGACATCACAGCGTAACAAGGTTTTGAGAGCGACATCAGAAAGTACTACAGCTCAGTAGCTGTCTGGCCATTTATACACGAGGTGATTAATAATCGACATATTTTCAGAATAGGATCGTTGAGCTGTTGTTGAGGAGAGCCTTCGCACAGACCAAGGAAATCTTTGAATAGATTGAATACCCTAAAAACATGGTCTACGGCCTTGTAAAGCTTTATGAAGCCTCAGACGACAAGGACAATTTCAGGGCAGAACATAAGAAGCGCTCTGGCACCATCAGGACGCGAGAGTTCGTCGTCGACGTTGCCGAGGATATCAAGGAGAACCCCAGCAAAAGCATGTGAAAATCGCCAAGGAAATGGGATTAGGATAATTTTCTAAGCGTAGCATAGATGTGGCATAAGGTTGAAATTATGGCGTACCCAGTGAGGATCGAAATTACTATTCAGTCGTAATTGTTCTAGCTAACCATTACATCACGTCAAAGTGTGCCCTCTTTGCTCATTATGTTTCCAATAAAAGTCAACTGTCTCTTTCTAATTCTAACCGTCTTTTTGTTTATGGATATACACAAGTATGAACCAGATCAATGTTTGCCCATACACTGATGTATTCGATATTGAATAACCCAGTAAGGGTTGACATGTCTTAAAAATGATCAAACTCACCGAAAGCAAAAATGTATTAATGGATAGCACTTGGGCTATATCGATCATTATAAACGATATTTAATAATGCTGACCCTTTTACAATAATTAGTAATAAACAGCATCTAATAAGTGAGTATCGCTAAGGGAGGTTCATTAAAGAACTTATCTTGATCAATGTAAAACCTCTCCCGGTTGAATTCTGACCCCGCTTCGCCAATGATTGGTTTCCCAGTTTAATTCGTATTGTTGGTTTAGTCCTATTTTGTTTTTTGCGTTCCAATTAATTTTTCTTTCTCGATTCAGCTTATACGGAAAACGGATGAGACGCTACATAAGAATACATGATCGACGTTATCTGCATCACCGACAATCGCATGACATCATTTCGGACGATTAGTCACAAGGGGAATTCCTTTCTTGTTGAGTTTCCAAGTACTTTATTTCACTTTTGCAACTTTGAGTAGGTTAAATGTGACTCAAATCTTCTGGCAGGGAGGTTGTGATCTTTGCGTCAAATTCCATTTCGATGGAACCGCATCTTAGAAGTCATATGTCTTCTTTATCGAATTCTCAACGTGACTAGGCCGGGTTTCTAAGATCCGCAGAGTTAAGCAACAATTGCGAGGCTCTATGAGATTTAAAAAATATCCTATGCAAGATAGTTAAGCCACTAAGACACACAGGGTTTATTGAGTGTGAAAGAATAAGAAACAAAAATTATTAAGGAGCGAGAGCAATAGAAGTGTAATCAAGAGGGCAGTACAAAAACGATTGGCATTACATTTAAAGTTTTGAAGATCAAACTTGACTGGGAAGGGAGTTTCACAAGTGAGAAGTGCGAGAAAAGAAATTGTTAGCTTACAACTTACGGTTACATCTAGCCAATTCAACTGATAATTGATGAGATCTTGCTGCCAATCTAATACTGTGCTTAAATTCATAAAGTGTCGGTACCACAGCGAAGAATTCATTCGAACAATTAACATGAAAGTATTTATAGAAAAGGCACAGAGAAGCAACTTTACAGCGATGGGAAAGTGACTGAAGCCGAGAGGCCAGATTAGGACCTGTAATATTGCTGATTCTGCTTGTAGATATGTACCAGGAGCACCGGACCATATATGGAAGCGATATTCAAGGTATAGACAAATGATAGACTTAAGTCGGACTTTTAACGTTTATTCTTCTCTGCGGATCCTTTGTCGACTCATTTTCTACTGATTCCTAATTTTTTAAAAGTATTGATATATAGATGGACATTTCTCCCTACATAAACGTAGATCAACTAATCGGACTATGAGTCTAGTTTTGACTCATTTCATTTGACTTATTTTGTTTAGAATAGGACCAATTTCCTACTATTCTACATAAAGCAAGTGAAATGAAGAGGGAAGAAATGCAATAAAATATTAATAATTCTTGACAATGCTTTATTTAATACAATCGCAAGATAAAATTACTGTTTACTAATTGCCGTCCCGTCGACTGACTTTTTGATCAGTTGCTGTAAAAATCTATCGAAATGGAGATGAAATAAATACCAGTCAATAATTAATAATAGTTGAAAAGACTTTAAGCGAAAAATATATTATTATTGGTGCAAATCGAACAATCGAAATAAAGATAAAAGAAATGATAATCAAAAATTAATAATGATTGTTACTCCTTCATTCTCAATATATTTCTAATCAAATGAAATCTTACGGCCATATCACGTTAATCACTGAAGTTAAGCAACGTCGGGGGCTATTATTTTACTTTATCTTTTATAAGAATTCCTCTGGTCTAAATATTTAATCACCGTCATGCAGTTTTCTACTAATGATTTGTAAAATCCAAACGATCATAAAAGACGAAAGAAATGATTTCAAACAAAACCGCATCAAACAGTTCGTACAGTTGGAAGTCGTATTAGCTCTACTTCAACTTTTTGAGACTTACGGCCATATCACATTGAAACACCTGTTCTCGTACTATCACCGAAGTTAAGCAACGTCGAGTTTGGTAAGCACCTAAATGAGTGACTGCATGTGAATTCCAGGTGCTGTAAGGTTGCATATGCAGCTGGATCACGGTTAGGCATTGGAAATAGGGCAGCAGATTTCCAATTCTATTTTGGTTGTATTTATTTACATTGGAAAAGGTATGAATCCACCTCTTCTCCTCTATCTATGGGTTAATTAGTAAGACTTGTATCAGTAAAATCATTAAAAAATGCTTACAATCCAAAATATTTTTATGGCTTAAAAAAAATGGAAAAGCTTGGTAAGCCGTAAAAAATCAATGAATTCCTGATCACGAAAATTTTAGCTTTTTCAAATCTAGAGTTAACCGTTATCTGCGCTTACTTCCATCCATACAACAACATCACTAAGTAACTTGAATGGCTGTTGGGCCTTTTATTAGAAGGTTATTTATGTGCGTAAATTAGTAATTTAATAAGCTATGAGTTAATTAATACGACTTGTATCAGTAATTTATTATCTCCAAAAAACAAAATCTTAAAACCTAAAAATATTTTCTCGCTTTAAATAACCTGCAAAGTGTTGATAAACCGTAAAAAACAAGTAAATCAACCAGATTTTCGATTCGCAAGACTCGCTGAATGTCCATGAAACAACTGTGAACAGAGACACAATATAAATATAAAACCTCACGATACATGAAAATGAAATATTAGCTTTTAGTTTTAAATCGTTTGGTTTCGTTTGGCTTGTTGAACGGCATATGAAATACTTATGTGTCCTTGGGAGCTTTGGTAATTTGATTTTTTTTTTCTAAAATTTATTCCTGTTCATTTTTTCCTGTTAATTTTAATATTTTTTTTATTATGAAAATATAATGCTTGTAATTTTTCCTAATGCAATTTTATATTTTTATGTTTTGACAAGAGTTTGAGTGCTCACTATTTATCCGTCGGTTGAAATTTATAGAATCATTCTCATAAAACAGTTTTTCAGGAAAGTATTTTTTTTTCAAGTCCATTATCAGTCTTGCCCTTTCTAGTATCAATGAAGCCTTCCTTCTTCAACAATTGTGGGGAACATTAACATATTGATGATGGCATTGTATTCTTTTCAAGTTACATTTTAGTTGTTGCTGTTTTTGAATGTCTTCAAGTAATGTATTTTCTGTTGTTTGGCAAAGTTCTTAGCTTCTGATTTTGTAACACTAGTCCACGAGGTTCGAAAAGATTGGTCTTCGCTAAGATCTACAGGCTTCGTTCGCTCGAAGCCATTTTTAATCATTGATCTGTGAAAACGATTGTATACAGTTGACAGTGTCGACATTTCTTAACGATTTGGGCGCTATCTATGGCATCACTATTAAAATCTCGATCTGAAGAGGCTGTTGAAGAATATTCCTCGGCATTATTATGTTAATATTTTGGTTTTGTAGCAAATTGTGGTATTGGGGGCAACTATATCTAGCGCAGTTTATATTATACTCAATTTCTTTCTCTCCTATACTGAATTTGTATTAACTGATCTATTTACCGAGGTATTTGACGTGTTTGGCATTTACTAACACTATATATCCTGAATTTTGTATGATCGATTCAGGGTACATGTCGTTATCAATTCAAATTCGGAATCAAAGAATACTTTTCAATTCTTAAGTCTGTTTATCATTAAACTATACTCACATAGAATCGAATGCATATCAGTTTTCTTACTATAATGTTCATCCTGTACAAGACTCAAAAGCCACTCGATTGCGAGGGTTAAAGAGTAAGAGGCACAGTTCATGGGGAGATGCGGGAAAGATAACGATTAACCCTAGACTTGATCCAGTTAATATTCTAGTGTTTGTGGAAGCATCTTTTTGAGAGTCGTTTACAAAATGCAGCGATTGTTTGAGTGGAATTCACATCTCACCAATGGAATACGAAGAGAATGTTCATTACAACAGACATGACAGGTCTTCGTGGTGAAAAATGATATATTAAAATTTCGAATAATAATTTCTATCTGTACTTAATATTATTTTCTCTACAGTGGGCTATGATAAGATTTTAGCTACCCTTAATGACAGCAATTTTGGCTTGTGCAATAACGTGTCGTCTTTTTTTTTTTCAGACAATACCGTTTTAGTATCAAGCTATTCTAATATATGAACGATAGTTGACTTATATCTTGCAATGAAAGTTCGCGGAAGTAAAGAAATTGGTGAATTTCAACGAGAGCAAATAATAGGATGGCATCAGTGTGGCAAGTCAAATAAAGAAATTTGCTAATTTTTTCCAGGTTAATCATCAAACGGTTAATAATATTGTCAAGAAATTTAATGAAGAAGGCCATTGTCGTGTGGAACAATGTTCAGGAAGACCAAACATCGTTTCTGAGCAAAGGAAAGGGGCGGTGAAGAAGGAAGTCATCAGAAACTGTCGTCAGAGCGTCAAAGTTGTCGTTGAAATGTCGCCACATGCGATGAGAAAGATTCTGAAAGAGCTAGGCTATCAAAGAAGAGTTTCAAGGAAGAAGCCCTTAATTTCAGAGGTTAACAGGAACAGGCGTATGGATTGGGCGAGAGAATTCTAGGGCAAAATTATGAATTTTGTCAGTTTGTAATTTGGTCAGATGAAAGTAAATTCTGCCAATATTCGAATTCGAGACAGGTTTATGTTTGGAGAAATCAAAACAGGACTTGGAACACTGTATTTCAGCCGGCGACCATGAAACAGGGAGGGATTGCAGTAATGGTGTGGGGAGCCGTCTGATCTGGAGGGAAATCTGAGCTAATTTTTGTTGATGAGCGGTTGAATGGTCCAAAATACTGTCAAATATTAGTGGAAGGAATATTCCCACTATTTGAAAACAATCAGATTGACAAAAATGCCTAACTTTTTCAAGAAGATAGAGCGCCATATCATGCGAGTAAAGGAGCAAAGACCTGGAAGGAATCAAGTCACTGTCATGGGTAGCTCAAAGTCTTGACATGAATCCAATAGACCACGTTTGGGAGCACCTTGACCGAAAACTTCGAGAGCGTGAAATAAAAATCACGTTAGTGCCAACCCTTAAAGAAACATTGCTAATGGAGTTGCAAAATATGACTCAGAGGATCGTTGATAACTTGATTAAATCCATGAAAAATCGAATACGAGCCTTGAAAATAACAAAGGGAGGACGTACTCTACGCTAGTTCCAAATACTGCTTATTTATGTTGAGTAGGGATTACGTAATTAAATTTTGAAATTGGATGTAGTTTATTTCTCCTGGCTAAAAACATTTCTTAGGTCACTGTATGATTCTTTTCTACTTGTTCTAAAATCTATTTTTCTCCTCAGCCTCCACGCCACATCGTTCGCCTTCTCTTTTTCCTTCTTAAGTTCTTTATCGACACAAAATCTACATTCCGCACCCTTTCTTCAGTCCACCTTGTTTATCTCCTTTTCCTATTCTTCATCTTCCTTACCTTCTCTTAGTTATCATCGCCTTTTCCTGTTCTTTAAAGACAATATCGTTTAACTACCAACATGAATCTATCGTCACTTACTTGAATATCTGGCTTTAGATTTATGTATGCTTCCATAGATTTAGAGACTATTTCTTTCAGAAAGCGATTGTTGCATTTGCTTCACCGAGTAACATAATTTATAGAACTCTTATCAAAACTTGAAATAGTAAAAAAAAGATCTTTTCTGATCTCGTTTATATCTCATTTTTCTCATCGAAAAATTGACAATCAGAAAGTTTAGCTCACTAACATTATAAAACAAATGACTTCTGAACCCAAATTCTATGTGCGATGGGAGCTTTTAAATGTTCTTTTCTGATAGTATCTTTAATAGCGAATTGCCGTTGAAACGGTAAATCGATAATAAAATATCACTTATAGAGAAATTACAGGAAAGAGATAATACGAACATTTTTATATCGAAACTGGTAGAGCTACTTTTGGAATGAACGTATATTTTAATATAGTTATCTAATGATATATTAGTTATTTGCTTCTATGTTTTACAAACATAGAAGCAAATATTTTATGTTTTACAAATAGATCACATAAATTTTTCAAACAAAGTTTGTGGCGTTAGAAATATTCAAAGTCAAAATCGTTTTTAAAGAAAATGATGCAAGAGTAATAAATACGTCCAAAATACAACGTTCAAAAACTATTTACAGACGGGTTTATACGTCGATCATCATTCTTTTTAAAGCATTTCAGGGCTTGAAACGAATTCAATTGTCAACTCATACGTCTTGTAGAGGTGTTAGCTACTACTCGGGTACTTAGAGGTGCCTAGTTATCTTAGTTACTACATTAAAAACATCGCCAGCAAATGAAACGTTTTTCCCAAAATAATTGATGAAGGAGTTAAGAGTATTTGCAAATATGTTAATTCATTCGTAACTGTAAATTTTACGTTTCGCTGTTACACACCAACGGATAGTACAAAAATATGATATATTCAACCCTAAAAAGAGTCTAGAAGAAGCCTCAACAGAAAGCACTGGACGGCCGTTTCGTTCCATTTTTGGCACTCATCTGCAGTGCGCCTTCACTACCGAGAATCGAACCCGGCCCGCAAGATTCATGCCTAATGGACGAACGTGCCTCAGTGACGGAGAAGAAACAAACCAGACTCGATATAGCGCCATCTCTTCACAAATTCTGTTGTCTGACTCATCCGAGTCTACTTATACAGGGTGACCCAAAAAATGGGAACTTTTTAACAATCCAATAAAACCAAGAGTGATGGAAGAAAAATATTTTATTCATAGTAACCTTAAAACCTTGCCATTTAAGAAACAATGATGGAATTTTCATTTTTTTTAAATTACGTCTTGTAGATGGCGTCCTCCTGTACGAATGCATTCTTGAAATCTGCTGTTAAGATTCCTCATTGACTGCTGCAACATATCAGCTGGGATACTGTGAATTTCATCTTGAATTCTAAATGGCGAAATGTTTACTTGCTGAAGGTCAGTGTCTCGCAGTGTTGCCACTTGCTCATGTCTGGCAATACACACTTCAAAAATTCCCATTTTTTGGGGTCACCCTGTACCAACGGACTGTGCCCCCATGAGTCACGGCTTCCATCTC